CTCACATTATGCTGCACCCACATGGTTTCCATGGACAAAAGACCAAAATGCATAGGAAAACTGCAAAACGCACGTCAATAATGTCTCGATGCATGCCATGCATATGGTACTCATGGCCATTGATCAGTGGTCTTTGATGAATGGTCATGACAGTTTGCATATTAATGATCCAGGAACTGATCTCTCAGCCCATTGGTCCTTCACTGGTGCTAGTTTCACTCATTGTGCAAATGTACTGTTTATAAGGTTGGGGAAACCTGCAGTCAGCTGAGACTGAAGACGTCACTGGATGAGTGACGAAACATTTCTCCCACTGAAAACGTCCAGATGAACAGAATGCACTTTTGGGACACATCAGTAAGCCTTTAACTGGAAGTAAGAACTTTGAATATAAGGTAAGGTGACGATTGCTGGTCTTCGGGGTCTCACTGACTCTTCTGTATTAAATTAGCTCTGGCTCTGTTTAAAATGATTAGACCCTTGATGTTAACTCGTGAACCAGCTTGTGTTTTCTTCCATTTTCGATGGAACCGTTCTAGTTATTCAGTGGGAGCATCTCGTTTGAAGCAGGTGGGATGTGGGACTTCACTTTAATGTCTTTGCTATATGATGTGTACCATTGTACGATCAAAAGAAAATGCGAGTTCATGTACATATCTACAAATATGAAAGTCATGGAATACTTGCTTCATGGTAAAAGAGTGAGGTAGGCTGAACTGAAGCTTTGTGTGAACTGAATCAGTGCCATGTAAAGGTAGACTTACACTCATGATGTTTGTACTACCATGTAAAAACAATCAGTTTGAATTTGATGGCAGCAGCAAGAAGCTGGGATGGGGCAGCAAAAGACTGAAAAAGTAAGTGACACAAAAAAGAAACATTTTATACGTAATTGGGCTAACTGATGACAGGTCAGTAAAAGGACTGGGGAAGAAAAGAACATCTGAGAGAGAGAGATCTGCAAAAAAGTGCTTCAACAACATTGTAGAGCAATTTCAGAGTAATGTTCCTCAACAAATAGTAAAGACTGTGAATATCTCATCATCCAAAGTTCAGAAGATTCAGAGAATCTGGAGAAATCTGTGCATGAGGGACCAGGCTGAAAATCAACATTAGATGCAGCTGATCTTCAGGTCCTCAAGCAGACATGATGCTGTTATGAAATCAGTGCATGGGCTTACGAACACTTCCATCACTGTCTGTGAACACAGCTCACTGTGCCATCATCTCTGGACCAAAGCTCATTTAAAACTGAAGCAGAGTGAAGAAATTTTAATTTGAAATTGGAAAACATGGACACTGCGTCTTCCAGACGATCCGACTTGCTGTCAGTGCTCAGTTCAAAAACCTGAATTTGTGATGGTGTGGCAGTGCGTTAGTGCCTCTGGAGTTGGCAGTTTTAGAGCAGCATATACTCCCATCCAGATTGTGTTTCATGGAAAGCCTTCATAGTAGAAGAGTCCTTGCTGTTACCAGCTGGTGGAGCATCATAAAGTAAAAATATCTATCAGACAAGAATGGGACAGCATTCCTCTCCCAGTCTACAGAGTGGGAAGCACGACCCTGTTTCTGAGATGTGCTGCTGCCATCAAATTAAAATATTACATATTTATATTTATGCTTTCTGCGTTCTATCATGAATAAAGAATTCTGTTTTATTTAAAATTTTACACAGCATGCAAACTTTTTGGAGTTGTACTTCAGGTTGGCTCAGGAGGAAGATGATTTCATCCTCCCGTCTGCAAGTTGAAATAACACTGAACCCCAAGTTCAATGTGTATGTGACGGTTAGAGAAAAGCTCTCAGGTGTAGAAGAAAAGTGCTTGTGTGAATGTGAGTGCAGATGGTTAAATGATGCTTGCAGTAGAACAGGCTTTGGGTGCTCAGAGGAATAAAGGAACTGGTTACACTGATGCTCTGCTACCATACCAGTAAATATCATGAACTTGTTAAAAAGCAGTTGTGCGTGTGACCTCGTGTGGGTACAATCAAAAGGAATAACAGTGTTTTATATATAATTAGATATCTAATATAACCTGAAAATGATATAACAGTGTCGAAGAGGTCTCTGGGAGTGATTAACCTACAGAACATGATCAGCTCACAGATTTCTGTTTTGTACTCTGGCTGTGGCGTCACTGTTAGTTCGGACTACATTAGTCTGATCACAGTAAACTTATCAGACCTGTGGAAGAAACTGCCGGATGGGCAGCGTAACAGCGGCACCGGTGCCGGACCCACTCCACATTTACCCCCGCTGTGTCCTGGTTCCACGCTTCCTAAGCAAAGATGTTTACACCAATGAAACGCTCAGATCTGTCTTACCACTGTAAATCTGCTCGACGTTGTGTGCGCCATTCACAAATGAAAACAAATCTTAATTACTTCATAAAGTTTCACTGGCAGTGCTATAAAAAGATGAGTACTAACAGGGGATTAATTAGCAGTAACATTTGAGTTTAAAAAAAGATCACTGGATATATTGTGCAGTTTGTCTTTTCATGACACAAGTTAAATATGTGTAATAAAGAAAATAGGTATTGTTTTTAAAGCTTAACAATAAACTTGTCTCTTTTCTCTGCTGGACAGAAAAAACTGCTTTCTGAAAGTTACATACAGTACTTCTGCACTGGTGTCTTTAAATATCAGCAGTAGTAAAATTAATTACATTACGAGGGAGAGACAAAAATACAAGAGCTTAATACTGATGACAACGGGAGAAGGCAATAGTCTTTCCACATCACTGCTCTTCCACTCAGATGTAACTATCTGTCTCTTGGTGTTGTGTCCCCACCCCAGCGCTCCACTCAAGCTGAGATCTGATCACTAGTAGACGCTCCAGGCTGTGGTTGCCTAGGTGACCTCATGCAATTACAACCCTGTCAAATGTCAGTCACTTCAGTGGCCTCCAACATGAGAAAAGTTCATCCTGGGCTTTTTGCCCAGCACCACTTGAAGTCAGACAATGTCGCTGACTTTCATTGCTCACCAAACCACACCCACATGTCCTGGGTGGACACAGCTTTACTGCTTTTTTCTTTGTTGCTACCAAACAAAAGAAAGAATTGGCAGCCTGCGCTGTTAGTTAGGTAGTTACGTCTGTAACTACCTAACTAACAGTACACAACCAAAACCCCTGCATAGTTTTTATTTGCAGCATTAGTGTGCAGCATGAAATTGGAACAAAGAATGAAGTGGCCATCTTTTCAGCTACAGTCCAATTATAAACATGGGCGGCATCGCGTCACTACTGAGCGTGCTACACATGTAGCAAAGCACACACCTGACCACAGCCATCAGTCGTGCTTTGTCACTGGTGAAACTGAAGAATCCAGCCTAGAATGGCAGTGAACCACTGCTTCTCTTTAAGGAGCCTCTTAAATGATGTGTGAAAACACTGTTGTGAGCGTGGATATGCGCTCATTGGTAAATCCGACTATAAACTCTCTACAGTTCATATGCAACTTAGATCTAAACTACTAATTGGATAGATAATCTCAAAACCACAACAGCAGATTACATTGTATCATTTATATACAGTTTATCTATTTGAAGTCTTGTAACATATGTCCTAATATTTACTGTATGTCACATCACAAACATGGACATTATTTTCACTTCAGACCAGTCAGGTCCGTCAAAACCTTCTTCAGTTCATCAAATCATAAAAAGACAAGTCAGACAGTCGTTTGCAACCTTGACAGATGTAAATAAATAAACTGGATAAAATCATGTTTCTTAATATAATAATCAGGAAATCTTTTTTATCATTTGGTTCCTGGTCGTTTTTTCATCTTGCCTTCCATTGTTTCTCCTCTGATTAACCTGAACTAATTTACTGTGATAATTAACACCAGAATGAGCTCTTGCTCTTTAGTCATTTTTCCTCCATTGCATTTCCCTTTGTCGTACTTTATTCCTTATCATCTTCACTTCTTGCCTTGTTGTCATCACAGGAACCGTGCTGACACAGTGAACCTCACTTGAATGCTTCATGGTGAGAAATCACTTTAAATCGATGACCTGAGTCTGGGACTGGGCCTTGTCCTTGGCCTAAAACACATGAAAGTAGACGTTTTTAAGTAGATGTTTTTAAGTAGATGTTTTCTTTTTTTATTTTCTATGCACAAAGCAGCTGATAATATATTCATCTAAATTACACTTGTTCGAGAGGCACGCTGACTTTTAACAGTTATTTTAAATAATCATTTGAACTTCAAACAAAATGAAAAAAGATTTTCTTTAAGATAAGTTCTGGAATTTGGTTTCTGGCCATTTTACCTGCCGTTCAGCAGCAGGTAAACCATGTGGTGCAGTGGTGCAAACCATTAGCCAAAGAAACCAGAATTAATGTTCAGTACAAAGAAAAACATGTATGCATGGCACCACAAACCAACAATAAATATATCAACAATTTCTGGCTGTTGGATGGAAACTTTTGGCATATTGTCCAACCCCTACAAGAAATGTTTTTCATCTCAACGTTGTAAGAAGTTTGAAAGGTTTCGGACTTTGGAGCAGTTTAATGGAATAGCTGACTAACAGAACAACTATAATTCTAGCTAGGGATGCAATGATGCGACATCAAATATTGGTTCAAAACCTGGATGGAATATTGGGGAGCCAATTCATAGTCTGACAGTTAAATTGGATCAATCAAGCCAAAAATATTTTTTTCATGTATTTATCTGATTCTCATTTCTTATTTCACAAATAAATACCAACAATCCAGTAAATGTATTCTCTTAGGATTAAGTTCAAGTTAAGTTAAATAAAGTTCAAATGGAGCCAGATATACAGTAGTTATGGCCACTCTCACAATGAGGAAAACGGCTTATTAACACTGATACATTGATGTGTATTAGCAGATAGTAACAAAGTATCAGATCAGAAAAATGTGAATGGTTGCTATTCTACTTCTAACTTTGCTAAAATTACTAAATACCTGGTTCTACTCTTGAGAAATATTTACAGTTGTAATTATTTCAACTCAAAGTTCAAATTTAACACATAACATATTTAAAAAATAAATCCCTAACCCTAACACATTAATGGCGGCTTGAATTATATTAATATTAAATGTTGGGTATTTATTCTTAATCTCCAAGTTCTACAAAATGTCAACAATCATGGGCCAAATAAAAGCAAAAAATAAATAAAGTAAGGGCAGTAAACCTGAAATTAGGATTACACAGGATATATCAAACTAACTGGCCATCGATTTAATGCTATAATAAGTTAAGAAAAATAACGTCCAACTTACCCTGAGAGATGGTCGAGGAGGCCTAACTGGTCGTACTGGCTCTGGTACTGGGTTAGTCTGCCTTCTCTGCAATGGCTCTAGGTCATCAGCTACATCAGGACATCCAATGTATCCTCCAGCCCCAAACACTGAACCGAGATCACCTTCTAAAAGGTTGTGGTGGATCAGGGCAGCAGACGAATTAAGGTCCTGGCTGGCAGACATGCTACTGATGGCCGTGTTTAAAGTACTAGTATTTGTGGTATTCGAGGTGCAGACACTGGGGTTACTGAGCTGCAGTCCCAGCATATTTTCGGATGCCACATCACTATCTGAGCTGTCATTAACAGAACTGACATC